ATGATCTGTAGCATCAGTCGGTGGTTTCCCGCCTGCATAAAGCAGGCCGACTGACATGAGGTTTGAAGATTACCGTGGAATGGTAAACTTCTGCCTGGGGATGGGAGGATTGGGTGCGAATCACGCTTCTTGCTTTTTGATGGGGCGCTATCTGACTGTGGTGACTAATCATTATATTCAATCCAACAACGAAGTAATTATAAGTAATCTTCCAATAATTCTAAATTGAGCAATTGATTGAATTATACTTATCTGAGAGCATGTGCTTCTTCATGTGCCCGCTAGCTTATCTATTTGCTTGATCTGGATAATCTAACCACTAACCGGTTTGGATGCTGATCTGGTCCCGGCATATCCCTGCTTAGCATACTTTTCAATCTGTTGACCTTCCGTCAACTCGAATGAATTTATTCGATTTGGCATATTTGTTGAAATTTAATCAATTTAGCGAATATATTCATTGTGCACAAACTAATAGTATGAAAGTATAAAAGCACTACCTTTCGTATTAAATAAAGCGGAACTCGGTTAGAGGTCAACCTTGATAAGTGTTTGGCTCAACTAATTCTTCCCCCAGATAAGTAATATCTATATTAACGATAGGAATTACCGTTGGCACTGCCTACAGTACCAGGGTCTTATTCAAGAACTCTATTTTTAAAATTGAATAGTAGCTATGGGTACTGTGTGAAAAACCGGATACTGCATTTGTGAATATATCATATAAAATTGGTAAATCAATATAGTTGTCTTATTCAAGTAGGGATGGTGAATAATGTCTGGGTCTTTATCATGGAGGGTATTATTTTTGGGTGGATACTGTAGGCAGTAGCCAACTATAGTGACCAGATCTCATGACTTCGTATTAAGAGACTCGTAGTCTAGAGCTCTAATTGGCCCTAGTTACATGGACCAAAACTTTCCACGCCTTGATCGTAGCCTTACCATTATTGGGGTTTAGTTAGAGTAGTTTAGTTTGTATTAGTGTAGTATTGTAGTGTATTCTTGTATTACAGAGCAAATTTGCCTTTAACATTGTTCAGGTAAACGGAATATTTGACTTACTTCTTATTTGCATTAATCCAGTATAACATTTACCAACAGGAATATTTAAGGTATGCTATTCACTTCTCATTTTTGATTCCTTATTTGCATTAATTTGGTCTGTAATCATAATCATGATTTATTTAATTTTTTCGAGATAAGCTCTTCAGTTTTTCTTATACACATTAAATTATCGATAAGTATAGTCTAATAGTATAAAGCGGTAAATTTCAGTTGTCCTGTAAGTTATTATATTGAGACAAGATAATAATCATCTGCCACTTTAGAGTTGATAATATAAGTTGATGTGTTTAAATCAATTTATTCATTTCTAATTAGTTCCTTTCAAGGATCTTTGAGTTTGTGATTTGCTGTTATAAACCTGTAAATGTGTATTTCATATAAACCTGTAAATGTGTATTTCATATAAACCTGTAAATGTGTATTTCATATAAACCTGTAAATGTGTATTTCTTAAAAAAAGTCATAATTGCAAATCTACAATTCCATGATTTCTTTTATCAGTGCTAATTTACTCGATAATCATCTGTTTGCACCAAACATCTGAATAATATTGAAAAACATACTAAATAAAATTTATGGCACTTCATGCCATCCATCACACTAGTCCTATTATAATGCATAGAAATAACAATAAGTCATAATCCTCACTTATTTATATTGGATTTATTCGGAAATCAACAACGACGTTGTGGGCGCTCTTAATACATGATTTGAATAATGACAAATTTGAGTATTAATCATTTTATTTATTATATTAATAACAAAGTTAAGCAAATGTTACATGAATTCAGATGCCTATTTAATTACTAGAGAAGTATTAATACTAATTATAATTTTAAGCAATTTAAGGTGCGCCTAAAATAAATATATAAGTTTAAATAAATAAAAATCCCTATAATAATACAAAATTTGACTTTAAAGTACTAAATACAATTACCTTTTTTATTCATATTAGATTTATAAATCTCTTCCAAATATTGTACATCAACAACATATTCAGTTAGAAATAGTTGCAATGAATCAAGTCTTTTTTTTAATTCATTGTTATTTAAATTATTAGTTTTTGAATGATGAACAAGAGGAATAAATCCGAAAGTACTTTGCAATTTTGTTTGAACAGATTTATTTATTTTAAACCCGTATTTTTGGATCCATCCCCATGGTTTAATAACAATAGCACCTAAGCACAGCAATTGATATTAATTTATAATTGTTATCTAAATACGAATAAAGTAACTTAATTTGAAAAATTTACCAAAAAGTATTACATAAATTGTTGCAGCAGATCCCCATGCACCTCCGATTAAACCAATCGAACTCAAAACCTAAATTATTTTTACAATTATTATTATTTTAATTTTTTAAATAGACTAGATAAATTTTAAATGCTTACAGTCTTAGTTCTTTTTCATAATATCAAGATGAATTGAATTATGAATTAAATAATTAGTAGTTATTTATAAATTAAACCCAATTCAATACACTTAATATAAAATACCTTTTATCAGTTTCAACTTGAACGATAAACGTTTGTGGCTCAATTGTTATTTTTGTAAGCATTGTCAATGTTGGAAATTCAGGATCATTTAAAAGAGGAAATGTTTCTTGTAAATATTATAAAAAATTAATATTAGTCATTACAATTTTTTTTGTAAATAATTGTTGAATAATAATGGAATGTACCTAATGTCGATGTGTAATACGGTATATTTTCAAGCTTAGATGAAAATCCTAAATAATTTTCCCAGCTTGGTACCATAAATTCTTTCCTTTTTCTTTTTATTTTGACCGTATAGGACTGTTAAAAAAAAGAATATAACAGATAAATAAAAGTTATAAAATATTATGACTAATACTAGTCAAACTAAGGTCAGTTAATAGTTTGAGCAAA